AGTCGCAGCTGATGAATGGAAAAGAAGCCTGGGTCTCGAGCGCGACACATTGAAAAAGCTGCGAAGCGCAATGTTCAAAGATTTCCATCTAGTGTCATATTTACATAGAAAAGCTATTAGAAAAGCAGCGGAGCTTTGTAAACAGCTCAGAGTAATCAAGTCATCTCCATAAGAACAATATGATTGCCAGAACGAATTTACCGGGATTTTTGAAAAGGTCCTGTTCACACATGATCTCTTAATGGTAATTTACCAGTAAAGACTGTATGTGTGAAAGGGACTAAACTCTTCCTCTGCATATGCGGTGAGTTTGGGTTTAACGTCAATCTGGGAAAACTCATTTGTTTTGTTATTGTACATCGCGATTTCAAAATAAAAGTTTCCCAATTTGCATGTGGCCAAATATTAAAATTAAATGGATTTAAACGTCGTTGAATCACATGAAACATCACCAGGCCGTTGGCGCCCTCTGCAGGTATTTGTTATAATATAGGCATATTACATTATGTATTCAACAATGTTGTTCAATAAAACCATGTACTTGGTTTGGATACTTTATTTGAGGCTAATAATTATTGCCTCATTGTTACTTTATATATATAAATATAGTCATATTAAAGGGGTCATATGATGAGATTTCAATTTTTCCTTTCTCTTTGGAGTGTTACAAGCTCTCGGTGCATAAAGAAGATCTGTAAAGTTGCAAAGACTAAAGTCTCAAATCCAAAGAGATATTTTTACATTTACATTAGCCTATATTTAAATTTTGTTATTTACAGACGCTTTTATCCAAAGCGACTTACAAATGAAGACAACAGAAGCAATCAATTGTAGTATTAAAACAACTAAAAACAGATCCAAAACTAAAAGCTAAAACTTTATAAATACTACTATATATAATAATAATAATTGTATTTCTTTTAATTAATATTCAAGAAATTTGAAATCATTTGAAAAAGGATTAAAGAATAAATGTGTAAAATAAACATACTTATACTTTAGATGACAAAGTATTTTTCACAAATAAATAAATATTTAATAAAAATATAATTAAAAAGGTAGTAGCCTAAATACTGTAACCAACAGGGCAGCAGTATTCTGGGAAGTTTGTGTGCATTGGGAATTATATTTTTTCAAATAAAGCCAAGGTAACACTCATTTTACATACAGCACACAGTGAAAATTACATGAATATGACAGTGGGCAAATGCATAAAGCGCAGCATAATTTGAAACTTATCGGCCGATGCCGATATTTGAAAAATGCCAAATATCGGCCGATATATCAGTCGACACTAATCCTAAATGTTACATGAGTTTGCACCATATTGTAGTGAGTAAACTTTTTTGGTATTGCGGTTTCAAATTTCCCACCATAATCTGTAGTCTGAGCCTGTCAAGGGCTAATGGCAATGGCAGATACGTTAGTTAGTTTCTTGTTTTGTTTGCCAAATAACCCTGTGTATGTGTCCGCCCCCGCAACCCCCAACCCCCAGAAAAAAGTTCAGGCTCAGGATTTTTTTTTGCTTTAACCCCTGAAATAATGATAGCAAGTTAGATGCACACAAAATTGCTAAAATTAAAAAGAATGCCACGTTTATTTTATGTTATTTAGTAAAAATTCATTACAGAAATATTTATAATTGATTAATGTGTATTTTCTGGTCAAGTTGCAACAGTGCTGTTTTACTATTATTTATATAGTATTATAGTATTTATTCATACTTGGAATTTTGAGCTTTTATTTTTATATTTATGTACTTTTTATATTTATACACATTTCATACACACGTTTTAGGAATTGTTTGTGCTTTGCTCATTGTTATTTATTTATTTTAGTTTTTCTATTTAGTAAGTGTATTGTCACATCCCTAGTGTCTATGAGCGTGATAAAGCTCATAATTTTCCAAGTGTATGATATAGATTTTCATTCTTTTTTTATTCAAAAATCAGTTTGAATAAAGAAATGTTAAAACACCAAACAATTGAGCTGTTAAAGTTACAGAGACACTCCTGCTAAATGGGCTTTCATGATTTGTCCTTTTTGGAAGTCTGAAGACTTTATGTTTATTTCAAATAAATAAATAAATAAATGAATATATATATATATATAATATTTGAAATATTTTATTATATTTATTTATAAATATTTTCACACCTTTTATTTGTGAAAATAAAGCATTAAATAGTGGGAAATAAAAGTTGTGGACACTGGGGAGGCTATAAATACATAAATATAAATAATAAATTACAGAGACAAAATTTTATTTGCATCTTGATGTTTCAGGGCTCCAGACTGCACCTAAAACGATCGCATTTGCGACCAAAAATATTACTTTTAGATCTCCACTGGCGACTATATAAATTTCCATGTTATGATGAAAAAAATTTGCCTTATTGTCTTAAAACAAGCCTTATTGTCTTTTTTCCTGATTGTTTTGCAATCACATCTTTTGTTATGTTGACGTAATAAACTGAGACGATGCGCATCAAAGTTTTAGTGGAAAAACAGTCCTCATCTCTGCCAAACAGCAGTGTTGACGTCACACCTGCTAAAAGCAGCTCCAGCTGTGGCAGCATGAGAGCGATCGAAAATGACGGAGACGTGTGAAGTTAAAGTGCAGAAAAGCAGTGTCTATTTCATGCACAACTACAACAGGTAAAGCTGTCAGCTGTGTGGACATTAACAATATCGTTAACAATTCTCATTTATAATCTATACTAATGTGGCTTCTTGTTATCAAGCTCTTTAGTCTGTATGCTTTGTTCTGTTAATGCGTGAACTTCCTATTATTTGTAGCGCGCTTGCCATCTAATAACTTAATTGCAATAAGCTTTGTGATCTGTTACCTTTCAATAAACAAAGTATCAGCTTTAAAATTCTGCTAAATTCATAATATTATTTGTAGCGCGCTTGCCATCTAATAACTTAATTGCAATAAGGTTTGTGATCTGTTACCTTTCAATAAACAAAGTATCAGCTTTAAAATTCTGCTAAATTCATAAAGAAATTCAAACAATAAATACAGTTTTGGCGCTCTTTAAATAAACACATGAGCTATCGCATTAACACCTCTGTTCAAGCAGCACATGAACCCATCATATCTTTCTCTTTACTACTATAGTATGAAATAATCATGAATGGATATCAAAAGGTATATTAGTCAGCTAGAAAAATACCTATAAAGAGGACCATTTTGCTAAATAAATGCGCTATATTGCATATTCATATTTTTACTTAAACGGTTGTCTACAAAAGAAAGGAGCTAAAGATAAAATTCAACGCCTCCTATATAATTGCCTGTTACTAATGAAGAAAAACAGACTGGATGTGTGCAAAACATGACAACATTTATAGGATGCATTGAGGAGGAGCCCAAACTACACTCAATGGCCAAGTGATGCTGAAATAATTATGGGCCGTGATACTGGCACAGATTCTGTGTAATGAACAATTCTATGTGACTGTCTATAGTTCTCAAGTTGGAAAAGACGTTTAGTTCCCACTTTAAGTGAACCTTAGTTCCCAGGACATCTACAAGATGGATTAAAAGGCTAATAAAGACGAGAAAATATGAGACATAAACACATGACAGTATGACTGAAATGTTAAAGTGTTAAAAATTAATAAATAAATAAATCAAATGCGTTTATTCTGTGGCACTTAAATTATTTGGTGCCTAATTTTGTTTCTTATAGGAGCAAATAGCTCCTTATTTATTTTTTTTTTTTTTTTTTTTGTCTGGAGCCCTGCTTACATTCAGAATTTCTTGTGTGATGTTCCAAAATTCATATTAAAATACATCGATGGAAACCCAGCTGATCTCAAAATGGCCAGATATTGGACAGTTGCTTGGGTCTGTGGCTAGTTTTATTTATCATTCTCTTAGAAACTGATAATTTGGCAAACGAGTTAAGTGGTTACTATGATGTTATGCTCTTTCAATTTTTATGAGTGTAAAGTTTGTTTTTCTCAATGTATCATCTAGATAAGCCTCTGACAGGACTGAAGCTGCTGGCTGTGGGAAAACTTAGAAAGAACAAAGATGAGCTGAAAAATGCAGTGGAAGTACTGGGAGGAAAAATCACAGGCACTGCCAACAAAGCTGCTCTCTGCCTCAGCAGCAAGAGTGAGTGATGTTCTGTAACTCTTTCCCAAACCCTAGTGAGCTGCCTTGCTGTCTAAGTAGACAGATTTTGTGTTTGGCATGTTTGCACACTGACTAAAATAAGGGATGCTCAGTACAAAACGAGGTGTGCGTGTTAATTAGGTGTCATGCTTGTACTTGCCAATTAATAAATTTGTCCCTTCTGGTTTTTCGCCAACTTATTTATTTGTAGGCGTGTGTTACTTTGAAAGTCATTAATAACCTGCTCTGTTCCTCTTGTATTTCAGAGGAGATTGAAAAAATGAGTAAGAAGATGGAGGAGGTGAGGGACGCAGGTGTGCGTGTGGTGGCAGAGGACTTCCTCACTGACATCAAGGAGTCCGGCAAGGCCCTCCAGGAGCTCATTTCCCTGCACGCCATCTCACCCTGGGGTGCTGAAGTTAAAGTCGAGTTCCAGGCTGCAGCCCCGGCCTCCAAATCCACTGGCGCTCATTCCTCAAAGAGTACCAGCAGAGTCAAAGAGGAAGAAGGTTAGAGAGGCATTTTAATTTTCCTGCAAAACATATAAACAAAGATCAAATATTTGACTCCTGTATGCACCTGCATCAGATGAAATTTAATTATTTAGGTTTTACTGAAAGACATTCAATTATATTCATAATGCATTTAGCTTAAATAATAGAATGTTTCAGAGTGAAACAAAATATGAAAATGATTTTAGGCAGGATTTTATTGGGTGAAACATGTTAGGCTGTGATATAATTAAAATTATATTTATTATTTAAAAAAATAATGTATGTATTAAATTATAATTATATAACATTTTACTTATTGTATGTTATATATAAATATTTAATATGTGTGTGTGTGTGTGTGTGTGTGTGTGTGTGTGTATATATAAACATACATACAGGGGTGCACATAAGTGAAAATAAAATAAAAAATGCACTGTGTAGACCGCTCATTTGTGTACGGACATGGTTGACAGCTGTTAATGCACAATCACCATTTTATATCGACTGACTGTAATACTATATATGTTTCAAATATTTCCATTTGAACTGAAAGCATAAATCTAGACTATGCGCTGCTGGTTTCACAGCAAAATGCAAAACTGACCTTTCAATCACTGACGCGCTTCACTCAGCAGCGCATATACAGGTGCATCTCAATAAATCAGAATGTCGTAGAAAAGTTAATTTATTTCAGTAATTCAGCTCAAATTGTGAAACTCGTGTATTAAATAATGCACACAGACTGAAGTAGTTTAAGTCTTTGGTTCTTTTAATTGTGATGATTTTGGCTCACATTTAACAAAAACCCACCAATTCACTATCTCAACAAATTAGAATA